GTGGGTGGTTTTAAAGCTCTGCTGATGAGTATTTAGGTGGCTGCAGGACAGGGCTCTGAGCCTGTCACTGGCACACACAGCTCCCAGTTTTGTCTTAATTATGTGCAGCTTACGTGTAATCCTCTCTTCTTTGGCCAGAGTTTGTAGGGTTTGGGTTTTGTTGGATCTTTTTCTTTTTTTTTTTTTTCCTTTATTTTCTTTCTCTAGACCTTAAAACAAAAAAGGCTTAAAAATAGAAGTCAGTGTCAATAGGCCAAGTGGCTTCTTTGTAACTTGCCCAGTTCTGGGAGGGAGAAATCTGACCTGGAGGGAATACAGCACATTGGGGTTTGCTCCTGACCCAGACCCTCCATGATTCTCCATTCCTGAGCTTCCCTTCAGGAGATGTGTTATTCTGACAGCTTTTTTTTTTTTTTGGCTTAAGGGTGTTTTTTTGAGATTTCCTGTTTACACCCTGTCTAATTACTCTTTTTCTTATTTTTTCCCTAACGGGATGACACACATGGATGTCTAAAAATATTGCATGTAACAACCAGCTTTGCATAAGGAGGATGTTTCTGTCCAAGAGAAACAGCATAAATATCCTGCATGTGCTTTTTTTCCCAAATAAACATTCAGGCTTAGGATATTGTAGGGAATTGGTCTAAGTAGCCAAGAAGTATGGGTTTTTTTCTCTGCCTTCTCTGCTGATTTTCTTTTTAAAGTATGGATGTTCTGGAAAATCTGCTTTGATGATTTTAGGTGGAGAATTTGTCTTTTTTTTTGTGACAAAAAGGGAGGACAACATGTTGTTTCCTCCCAGCTAATGAAACCTTTATGATAATGCTAATTTTCTATGTAGAGCTACAATCTCACCATATGCTTTAATTTTCACACATGAGTATTCTGAGAATTGTTTGTTTCCCTTCATTATCTGCCTTTTTTACTGAAGATTTGGGTGAATCAGATTCTTGCTGACAGCCTGTAAATTAGGAGAGCTGCAGTTTTTTGATGTAACTGTATTTCTACAGTGGAAAGCGTTTGTCTCCTTTCAATCCTCTCAGTTTTTGAGGTTTTGCTGCTTACTTGTGTACAGAGAATATAAGTGAATTTGGAATGCTGGATTTTTGTTGTTTCCCAGTCTCTCAGTATGGTTTTGCCAAAAATAGGGCTGTGTAATGTCTCTCCCCTAATTTCCTGTTGGGAATGAGATGAGACACAGAGATGCTTCATGAATTTTATGTTGCTACTTCTTTTACTGGATAATAGCTCAAATATTAGCAGGCTTTTAAAAATAACTGCTAAGATGACCAATTTGGGGACACGTTGCAAAAATTGTTCGTTTGTACAGACAATGCCAAATCAATGAGAATAAGCTGAAAACACGTGTGTGTGTATAAATATCTCAAGACTGTTCACAGCAGCTCTTGACTGAGGCAGACAGCTGTGCTCATCTCCTGATGGATTGGTCCAAGACATAGAAAATCAATTATATTGTTCAGATTAGCTGGGTGTCCTGAATTAAAGATGAAAGAAAATGTATTAGTAAGGGGTCCAGGGCTTTGAGTTTTTGAGGAGCCTGGTCCCCCGGGGTTGGGACACAGCACAAGTCCCTTCCCACAGCCTGAGGAAACAGACCTGCAAGTGCATGTGCTGTGGGGAATAAATCCAATAAATCACACCAGTGTCATTGGGGGAATTAAAAAGGAGTCCTTTGGCTCCAGGAGCTCAGTGTCTCCAGCTGCTGAGCTGGTGGCACCTTTCCCTGGCCAAAATCCATGGATGAAAGTGATGGAAGCCTCTTCAAGAAGCTCTCCAGCTTTTCTCCATGCAGGAGGATGGGACTAGGTTATTGTTGCCTGTGACTGTGCTGTGGCATTGCTGTGCCACCGTCATGTCACAGCCTTTGAGGTGAGCATGCAGCTGCCACAGCTTCCAAAGCTGCTGGTTCTACCCCCTGTACCGAAAAGGGTTGTGGAATGTGGGTGCTGCCCGGTAGCTCAGAGCCCTGTGTGCACACAGCTGGATGCGAGGGGAGAGCTGTCTCCTGGAGATGAGCGCTGGTGGGCGACATTCCTGCTGTGGGATGGGCTTGTGCTTCCCTGTGGTGGTAATTTGGAGTGATTTCCCTCTGATTGCCAGGACAGGGTGAGCCAAGGGCTGTGCTCTCTGCCCCACCAGGAACGGGGTGGGGATATTGGAGTGAGCTCCTGCACAGCTGCAGGAGCCAGGGTGCAGGAGGAGAAGGGCTCAGTCCAGGCTTTGGTTGGGGATTGCAGATGCAGAGCTGATGGTCACAGCAGCAGATCTGTGCTCCTGGAGCAGGCTGTGGTGGCACACAGTGAGTATCCCTGTGTCTCATCCTGGCTGGAGGAGGTGTCTTAGCAGGAATGTGGCTCTCAGGTGTTCAGGAATGGGCTGAGGGGGCAGAGGGGTGCAAGCAGCGCTTCTCGCAGCTACAGCCACAGGTATTTCATGGCTCTGGACATCACTGTCCTGTGGCTTTGTGAGTATGTCCCCAGTTGTTCCTGGGGTGACACGAGCCTGTGGCCACAGAGCTCTGTGGATCCAGGTTTGTCGCAGCAAAGGCATTTCACACTGCTTTGTCATGGGCACCTTGGCATCTTCTGCAGCCTCTTCACTGAGCTTCCCACCACTCTGGGAAGTGGATGTGTGATTTCTGAGCAAAGATTGCTGGTGCCTCAGGTTTTAAATGTTGTCTGTGTGTATATTTGTAAATGAGACTTCTAAACTGTTTCCTTATGTTGTCTCATCAATAAAATCAGGAATAATTACATGTTGCCTATCTTCAGGGCTGTTACGAGTTTTATTTACTTTTAAGGTGCTTTGCAGTCACCTTGGATAGCTGAATTGAAGCACAGATGATGCTTGGTATTTATTTTATATTTTAATCCTTCCAGATACTTTTCTTTCTCCTCAGCATGAGGCTTTGTGGACGTGTTTGCTCTAACAGAAACCTTTTTTACTTAACAACAGACAACTGAGGCAATTAAAACAGTCAGAAGTGATTGATGTGATTTCACTGGGTGAAAACTGAAGCGGCTCACAATTAAATAATGGCAACCCTCGTGCTATCTCAGAGCAGCAGATGGGGAATGATTTAAAAACAGCATTGGATCCGACACTTCCCAACAGGGGCAGATTGGTAACAGTGTGTCAGAGCCAGAAATCTGCTGCACCTTGAAGGGTGTGCTGATGAAATGATTAATTGATGGTAATGGGCAACGTAGTTATGAGCCTGCCCTGGCAGCCCTTCAGCTCTGGGGAACAAATGGAGCTGGGAGTGGATCATGATGGGTTTAAGGGTGCTGTGTTTGGGCAGCAGGGAAATCTCAAGGGAGCGTGCTGCAAGCTGGAATTGGGGTGCTGCAGCTCTGCTTCCAGACCCAAGGGATGGATTGCTGGAGGTGGTGCCTTGGGCCTGGGAGATGATGCTCTGCAGGCAGCAGCACCAGGGGATGCAGCTGTGGGATCACTGCTGGCTCTGGGCTGGAGCAGCCTTGTGCTCTGAGCTGCTGCTCACCGTGTGTCACTGCCCATTTGGCACTTCTGCACAAGTTCATGATTGCAGCAGCAATACAGAGAAAAGAAGGGATTTCTGCCCTCTAGACTCACTCTGCAAGCTGTCCTTGTACCAGTGTTGCTGTTTTGGTGGGCGGTGTGATGCTCAGCAGTGCCCAAAGTTGCTGCTGCCCAGTTTTCCAGGACACTTGGGGAGCTGTGCCTGCGGATGCTCCTCTCTGACCTGCCTGCAGAGCTCCTCAGGAGGGCACTCCCTCTCGCCTTCTGGTCCCAACGAGCTCAGTGAGTGGGACAATGGAGCTTTGTTGCTGTGGGAGCTGGGGGCAGAGGCTGGCTGGTGACAGGGGCTGCTGTGTCCGGGCAGCCCTGGCTGTGCAAACGGGGGCAGAGCTGCGAGCTCTCTGCAGCCCCACTGTGATCACACAGAAATTCTGTTTATTTTTAAGTCTCTGCAGCGTGCACAGGGGCAGGAGGTGATGAGAGGGGCTGATGGCACTACAGCTCAGCCCTGTCCTTGTCCCTGTCCCTGCAGAGCCAGAGGGATGTGAAAGGGGAAGCCATTGCGTGTTGCTGTTTAATCCCTCCGGGAGCCGCTGTCTAAGCAAACACCCCCCGGCCTCTGCTCACAGCTCACAATTTATGGTGTGCTGTCAGGAAAATGAGCTACTTTGAGGCTGGGAGAACAAATATGAAAGCCAGGTTTCCTTCACCAGCTCTCACCCGGAGAGTGTTGCAAAGCCGGTCCTCACTGGAGCTGCTGAAAGGCCCAGAATTAGAACAGATATTAAATAATGTAAAAGCTTTCATTGAAATGTATTAGATTTCAAAGGGCGGATATATAAAAGGGCATAATGGGCAGCTATTTCTGAATTGCTTGTCTGCTAAAGAGAGGAAGAGACTTTGTTTGCAGGAGATAAATGTGACATGAAAGAGGTGGCTCAGATATAGCATCACCCCATTCTTAGTGATGCAGTTCAAACACCTTCTTGATATGTGCAGTTCCTCTGCAAGAATCCATGGAGGTGATGACTTTCAGTAGCTGCTCAAGTGAAAATGTTATTCCATCTGTTCTAGTGACAGGTCAATGGACCAGATTTGGGCTGGGAGGTTTGGATGGATCTGGGTTTCCTGAGTCCCTGGTTATCTCCTCCTCACCAGAGCAAAAGCCCAAGGCTGTGGCACTGGCCAGGCTGGTTCATCCTCACATTTAATTCTCACAGCATTTATGGGTTTTTTAATCTGATCCTGGGTGCTGCTAAGCACCCTTAATTCCAGCGTGGGGTTGACAGGAACTGCCAGTGCTGAGGCAGCTCCCAGATGGAGTCCTTGGAGAAGGACTCGGCTCGGGTACACAGTCAATTCCCTTATCCATCAAAATCAGACACTGGCTTCACCCTGCCCTTGTCCCCAAGGCTCCCATGCTCTGGTGCAAGCAGGAATGCTGTCCTTGCTGACAGGCTGTGCTGCTGTCGTTGCAGATGACCGAGGGCCGGCACTGCCAGGTGCATCTCCTCGATGACAGGAACTTGGAGCTGCTGGTTCAGGTACTGACCTCGCTCTTTTGGGCACTGGCAGGCAGGGCCAGGCTTCTCTGCTTGTCTTCTTTTGGGGGCTGAAGTGAGGGTTGGATAAAGGTTATTCTAGAAAAACTCAGAGAGTGGAATAGGTGTGCTGAGGCAATGTGTGCTTCTCCTGACACCTGGATTAGCTGAAGGATTTCCCCATCATCAGTTCTGCATTCACTTTTTGCTTTCACCAAAATTCTCACAGGACATTAAACATACCCCTTGTGGTGATGTTTGTCATTTAGATGGGAAGAAAACTCTTTTGAGGATGTTTTTTTCCCCCATAACAGAACTCAAAGCACGAGATCCTCCGCTGCACAATGTTTTCTTAATTGCAAAATCCTTCCTGCCCTAAGTGCAGGAAAGCCTGGATGCTCAATTCTTCCCCAGCAAGAGGAAAGCAGCACTCAGTCTGTGCCCTTCAGCTTAATGTCATGGATTAAGCACAGAATTGCTTCTCCATGCTCCACTGAGACACCCTGAGTCTGATACATCACTTCTGTATTCTCTTGTACAACAGGGTTTTAGCATGGCCATGTGCACTCAAATGTCAGTATTTGCACAGAAAAAATATTTTTTTTTATTAAAAGCCTGGACTGAAATGAATAAAATTAATTTTGTTCTTTCAACAGCCCAAACTTTTGTCTCGGGAGTTGTTGGATCTGGTGGCCTCACACTTCAACCTGAAAGAAAAGGAATATTTTGGGATAACATTTATTGATGACACGTGAGTGTGTTTATTTATTTAAACAGCTGTGTCATTATTGCAATGTAAATCCTCTGATACTGTGGCAGCTTGGCATGATGGAAAAATTTCTTTTTCTTTCAAAGAAGAAAGAGTTTCCTACTTTGTGCTTGTGCTGCTTGGCTGGGGAGAGGGGAAGGCGCAAAATAGAAAATATTTGGAAAATATCTTCTGGGCCCAAACCAGAGAATCCTTGTAAAATATTTTCCTGATGATTTCACATTTCATATTTGTCTCACACAGTGAAAAAACTGATTCAGGGATAATTTCCCATGTGAACACCCTCAGCTTTCCTCCTCTGCACTTTTAGTGGCAACAAAAAGGTTTTGCATTTATTTCCAAAATGAATTGCTTTACATGTGAATCTCAAATATATCATTGAGCCTTTTAACTCCAAATTTCCCGAGCAGAGTGAGCTGTGAGGTCAGTCCTGCCCAGGACCCACTTTGCTCTCTCTGAGCCTGGCTGTGATGCTGTGGGAGATGTGTTCCATGGCATCAACCCAGAGCCAGATGGGTTCATTACCTGCAGTCTCACCTGGTGCTCATCTCTCAGCAGGGCACTGGAATGCTTCCCCACATCTGCTGGCAGTGTCTCCAGTGGAGTTACCTTCAGCTCCCCCAAAAAGCTGGAGCAGAGGTGCTCAGGGCAGTGGGGACGTGGAGCTGTGCACTACAACAGCCCCTAAATAAACCTCTTGTCTAATGGGAATAACGTTGTGACAGTGGTCACAAGGCTTGCAGGATGAAGAGAGAGACAAGAATGTTAACTTGATGTTCAGAAAGCTTGATTTATTATTTTATGATATATATATAACATTATGACTATACTAAAAAGAAATAGAAGGAAAAAGTTTTCACAAGGCTAGCTAAGAATAGAATAGAAAAGAATGAATAACAAAGGTTTGTGTCCCAGCAGAGAGTGAGACTCAGCCTTGCTGTGAGTGGTCAGTAAATCCAAACATCTACAGGAGACCAATCACAGATCCACCTGTTGCATTCCACAGCAGCACATAACCACTGTTTACACTTTGTTGCTGAGGCCACAGCTTCTCAGAAGAGAGAAAAATCCTAAAGGGAGGATTTTTATGAAAATATGTCTGTGGCATAGCATTGCTTCCTGCTGCTCTCCATCGCCACTTTTTATGCAGCCCTGGATGGAAGCCTCCACCTGCAGATCCCATCAGAGCGGTGTTTGGGGCCACCCTGCTGAGGCACATCCCATGTGGGACACCCTGGAGCTCGTGGAGCTGCTCCCTCTGGGGCCCTGACCCCAGCCCTCTGTTATTTTTACCAGCCACTCACATCTGGGGCCATCCCTGGAATATTTTTGCCACATCCTTGTCCTTTCGCTTGCTGGAAAATATTTCCCCCAGCTTTTCTCTAAATCCCTTGAGCACACTGTTTGTACTTGGCTTGTTGTTTTTCCCCCAGAAGAGCTGCCATGAAATCCTTCTGGATGTTTTTGGCTGCTGGCACCGAGTCGCGGTGAGGTTTAAAGTGCTGCCCGGGGATTATCTGAAAGCTGCTGGGTTCCCCAGAAACTGCAGTGGGGTTCCAGGGCCTGCCTCGCTGTGTGCACAGGGCTGGGTGCTTGGAGGGAGTGTTGGCCTCTGGAGGGCACCCATGGCTCAGCCTTGCAGGGTTAAGGGTTAGGTAAAACAAAAAAAAAGGAAATTATTCCCTGAGATGTTTGCCTGCCTTGGGGCTGAGGCTTGAACTTTTTGAAGTAACACTTGGACTAACTGGGAGCACTGAAAAGAACCAATCTCTGTGTTTTCCATCCCAGTTTTTAACCCTCTCCCCAACCTGTTTGCACAGAGGTCAGAGTGTCTGGCTGCAGCTGGATCACCGTGTCCTGGACCATGACTTGCCCAAGAAACCAGGCCCAGCTACTTTGTACTTTGCCGTTAGGTGAGTAATTGTTTCCACCAAGCAAACATCACCACTTGGGTTTATTTGTCACCAGGGGGTTTTGTTTAAAGGAGCTGATTACAGGTTTGATAAAGGAAATAAATGTCAAAGCAATGTGTTATTTTTAGAAGAGATTAGGGCCTGGCTAAGTGCTTCTCTCTTTTGTATGTAACTGTGAAATAAAGTAGGTTGGAACCTGCTACTTTTTAAACTCGTATTAGGACATGATTCCTAGGGTGGGTTTGGGTTTTGTTTTTTATTTAAAACGTCATTTTTTAACTATCTTCTTTGCCTGACGTATCTTTGAGTGTGCTAAATTTCAATACAGTTTATTCAAACAATTTTACTTACTTTTTTTCCTTCAGTTTACTTAAGGCCTGTCTGTACTTTAAAGGGATTGCTGATGGCTGTTTTGCTCACAGCTTAACCAGTCCCCAGGAAAGAATAAAATCCCTGGCAAAATGATGATTTTGGCCAATGTAATTGCATTACTTTAGGGCTGTTGCTGGCAAAGCTCTGCTGGTTAAGGCCTGAAAAAACCCACATCCCATGAAACAGAGCTGGCAGAAGAGCTCAAGCATCATATTCTTAATATTGTTGGAGTCTTTGTTTTCCTTGCAGTCTGCGAGGGAACGTGAGAGCAGACTGACCTCATTTGCTTTTCAGATCTGGGTAAATTTATGCCTGGTGTGCTTAATTATTTGAAGCACTTCCAAAGCAGAGCCTCTTGTGTAGCTGGGTCAGTTGGCACTGGTGCTTCCCCGTGTCCCCCACTGTCACCAGGGGATGGGACAAACAAGTGGCACTTTGTTCTGCCTGAATACGTGCTGGGGTGTGATGGTGTCCAGAGCTCCTCTTCGACACTTAGCAGAAAGAAAAAGCTCCATTTATAAAGGGGTGATGGGCTCTTCACTGTGTTTGCAATGATCAGGATCTGGGAGGCCAAAACCTGTGGCTGCCCAAGAAAGCTGTGAAGGCAATCCTATTACAACTTGAGCATTCTTTTGGTTGGAATTGATTCTGTTTGCTCATGGTGTTCATTTTGGCCCTCTCTGTGCAGAGACTTGGGTAGGAGTGAATGTGTCAAGAGTGGGCTTGGAAAAATCAAATTTCAAAAGGGAGTTTTAAGCCTGACCACTCTGGGGTCATGAGATCCAAAGCAGGTACCCAAGGAGGTGGGCAGTGAGATGCAGAGCCAGGAGGAGGAAGATACAGAAATAATTAGCACTGCAGAAACTACCTGATCCATAGAAAATAGATATTCCAGCAGAAATGCCACTTCAAAACCTGCAGTTTCCAGTTGCATTACTGGAAATGGAGGAATCTCCAGATTGTTGGTTTTTCTTCATCTCTTCTCATCCCTGAACTTTTGCTGTTCAATAAGGAAACATGTGATAATCCTTTGATATTTTAATTATTACCAGCTGGCATAAACTCAGTCCAGTCACAGAGGTTTTTGGATGGCACACTCAGCTGAAGGACTCTGATGCAGATTGAGGACTGTCAGAAATGTCATTTTAGTTTCAAGGATGCTGACAGCACTGGAAGTGGAAGCAGAACTTGCACTTTATGGTGCTCCCAAATGTGCCTGCCATGCCCTGAACATCCTTATCTGTCCTGGGGTGATGAGAAGGTGCAACTTGTACCACAGAGGAAATGGAGCTGGGATTGGGGCAGTGCCCCCCGTGCCCTCACCCTAAATCCACAGATCCCACAGCTTCCTGCTTTGTACAGGAGTGACTGGGAGCTGCCTCTCTTCAGAGCCAGAGCTGTCCTGCTCCTGAGCCACACCTGAGCCTGGCTGAAAGAACCTGCAAGTGCAAATGAGGTCGTCAGCTGAGGAAAATCACTTCAGGGTGCAGGGAAGGCTGCAGCAGGCTGAGGAAGGTCCACGCTGGGATGGGATGGGCTGGGCTGGTCTGGCAGGAGGATGGGAAGGGATGAAGAGTGTGGGTCCTGCCCTCTGCTCTGCACTTCTGAAGAGAAGCACTCAAGGGTGTTTAAAGTAAAATTTAGCAAAGCTGTTGGGGAAAAAAATATATCAGGTGAGATCAAGAGAGGGTGGAAATACCTGCGGTTCATAGAGTTCATGGGGAAAGGTGAGTCATGGAAATGTAGAACAGCTTTTCAGATGTCTGGGGCTGCCCCTTGGCCAGGCTGCGTGCCTGTGAGATGGGTAAATCATCTGCAGAGGCGTTCTGGAGAGTGCTTTAAAATTAATTCAGTGGGACACACTGCAGGAATGTGAAATATTAAAGCAATTACTATTTAATGCATCACTTTCCTGAGGTCACAGCATAAACACTGCAAGCATTCCTGACACCTGTGGCAGGTCCCAGCTTCGCTGCTGCCTAGCATGTGCTCTGTGCTGCTTGTTCAAGTGTCTTACAAACCATCCATGCCAAGGTGATCATCAGTCAAAATTCAGGGGATGGAGCTTGAGGAGCTTGTCAGGAGCCTCAGGAGCAGCCTAGGGAGAGATTGGTCTGGCTCTGACTGCCCTGTGTGGGTCACCCAGCCCGCTGCTCTCCAGGACAGGACATGGGGAAGCCCTGGGTGATGTGCATTGCTGAGGCACTGGTGGGCCAGGTGTTTGCTTGGCTGGGAGAAAGTTGTTGTGCCTCCTGCCTGGCATTTAGTGGGAGCATCTGGGGCTGGAGTGAAGTTGGGGGTTCTTACAAACATCTGTGCTCCAACCCCTGTCCTCCAGCAGAGTGTTGGACTGACCTCCCCACCACGTCTGGAGTGGCTTTTCCACTGCTGTGACTTTGCCTGCACAGGAGAGATGGGCTTTGCTCCTGTAGCATTCAAGAGTTTTCATCTCATTTGAAAAGCCATCAGATATCCAGGATCTGTTGAACCAGGAGTCCCTGTGTGCTGTCAGGCTGTGATTTTCTGCTTGCTCCCTCCTAAAAGGCAGGAAATTAAGTGCAGTAGCTCATAGTTCCTCTGTGCTATTTTATTGCTGGAGAACAAAACACTGAGGAAATAAAATGACTTGGGAGGAAGATGAAACCTATTCAAGAGAGTCACTCATGGCTTTTGGTTCTTTTTTTAATTTTCAGGTTCTACATTGAAAGCATTTCCTTTCTCAAGGACAAAACTACGGTGGAGCTGTTTTTTCTGAATGCCAAATCCTGTGTACACCAGGTAAGACTTGGAGCTTTTTTGTGCATTTTTCTTCTATTGCTTTGCCACATGCTTAGTCCTGAGAACTTGGTAGGAGCTGTGTCTGATTTCTAGAGCTAATTGAAATATTAAGATCTCAGCATGCTGACTCTCTCCTTGCCCTGAAAGCTGATGTTTCATGCACATGAATGAGGCTGATGATGCTTTCCCAGCCCTGCTGTGTGCTCAGTGCTCTACAATGAGCCTGAAATACTCAAAACCTTTTAAACTTCTTGAAATCTGGGTTGTAACTTCCCAGGTAGGCTCTGCTCAGTGGCACATCCTCCTACAGTCTGCATAGCAAACACTCAGTGCAAGTGTCTCTTTACTGACTTCCAGTCAAACTTGTCTTAGGAGGAAAAGGCCTGTGAGGAAAGTCCTGTGTTGTGGACTTGGTCCCTAATTCCTTTATTTCCTGCCTTAATTCAGTGAGATAGTAAAGTAACAGTAAATAGTAATAGCAAATCCTATAAATATTTATTTTTTTAATACAGAATATTTTCTGTATTTACTTTCTGGTTGAAAAGCTTCCACTGTTTTCTTGAAATATTCAGATTGGTAAAATACATGTTTTTAAAAGGCTCATCAGGATGTGGTAATGGAAATCTTAAACAATAAAGTTGATTTGCTGCAGGTACATCTTGGTCAGGAATAAGAGTGGTGTGACAGCCAACTTTGCCATGCCCCTACACGCAGCTGCAGTTCAGTGAACTTTGATGCTTCTGGGATTTTCCAGTTAATGTCAAACTCTGGTGCCTTTTGTTTTCACTCGTGGTTCAATCAGTGTGAGAGGGTCACTTGGTCCTTACAACCTTTCCTTGGGACACAATCCTTGGTGGTGGAGCTCAGCGTAGCCAGCAAAAACTTTCACCTTTAACATGCTTCAGATTTTGGAGGATTCTTATTCAGGACCCAGTGTTGTTTGTTTTATGAAAGAATACAGAAACCTGAAAGTGGTTGATGGCAGAGCTGTGGCTGTGCTTTGTACAGGAATTGCTTTCTGGAAGAGTGAAGGAAATTTGGTGCATTTTTACAACATGCTGAAGTTTGAAAGGTGCTCAAAGAACTTGGGGCCTCACTGGTTATGGTTATTAAAAAGCAAATCTCCATTTGATATATCTGCCACTTGAAATGAAGGGTCTTGGCAGCTTGTAGCCATCCTTAAGTTGCTCCTTAACTGGAGCAGCTTAACAAATAATTTTGGAATTGGAAAATGGGGTCTGGTTTTGGGATGGAATGTGCTAAATGCCACTGCTGTTGTAACAAACCCTACCCAATATTAACACATTTGGGTGCCAGTATATGTGTTCCTGTGTATGTATAAGACATTTCAGAAAGCAAGGGAGAAGAGAAGCATAAAAAAAGAAGTTTGAAGGCAGGCTGGCTCTTTTTGTTTCCCTATGGTTTGCAAGGTGTGTGCTCTAATTGTAGCCACCCAAAGTGTGGCATCCCTGTTCCTGCAGGCAAAACTGCCAGGAGCAGGGGGTGTCTGCTGTGTCCAGTTTCTGTGGGCAGCAGGGGGATAAGGATGAGGAGCATCCCTTCCTCCTGAGAGATCCAGGTGATTCAGCACACAGGGACAGCTGGGGAGGCCTGGCTCTGCCTGCAGCCCTCTCTGTGCAGTTTCACAGCCCAGCTCAAGCCTCTGGCTCCTCCAGCAGGAGCCAGTTCCTCTACTCTCAAGCAGCTTTTAACCTTCCAATTAACTCCTGTAAAAATATTCTGTTCTACGTGACAAACTTCGGGTCAGTCCCCAGGTAGTCATGAAGGGCACGTGGGGCCAGCCCTCATCCTGAGCCTTGGGATGGGGCAGGAGGATGCACAAAGGCCCCTCAGATGTGTTCCCACAGCCTGTGCTCTCCCCTGGTGCTGCTGGCTCCTTTGTGGGGCAGGCAAGGAGCCAGGGGTGTCTGAATAGGAGCATCCCCAGCTCCATGAGCAAAGTGGCTGATGCTCACTGATGACAGCCAGGAATGTTCCCTGGCATTTCTCAGTCCTTAATCCAGCTCCAGGAGGTTAGCCTGCCTCAGCTTGGTTTTTTGGTTTTCCCTTTTTTTCCCATTCCTTTTCTTGTTGTATTTTTGGAGTGAGGAACCCCCAGTGTGTCAAAAGCAGGAGCTCTCACCCAGCCCATGTGCCCAGGCAGTGCCAGAGGATGCCCTGCCAGGGCAATATCCTAACCCGGATCTCTGCAGGAAGCCTGTGCTCTGTGTGGGCCAGGAATGTGGTTTGGGAGAGATGCTGCAATACCTGGGCCGTGCTAAGCCCTGCGTGGATGAGATTGCTTCAAAGTCAGTCGTGTTTCTTTGCTTTCACAAAGGTGTTTCCAAAGTTTTCGCTGCAGCTTTTCCCCATAGGGAAAACCCAAATCCAGGGTGGTGCAAATGCTTGAGTGCTCTTGTGACATTCCTGAGCACTGGCATGTGTTGACAGCACAGCAGAGTGTGGGTACCTGAGCTCCCTTGGCTGTAGAGGACGGGGATGTTTTCGTGAGCAGGGAGGGGGTGATGCTGCCCTGTGTGTGCCATGGGGATGCCAGTGCTCCTGCTGGCACATGGGGCACACCAGGAGAGCCAGGCACAGCCAGCACAATGGCAAAGCTCTGTGCCAGCCTTTCCTGTGCAGGGCATTTATCCTTGCCTTGCAAGGGGCAGAGGCTGCAACAGAAATGTATTTACAGTGTTCTTTGAGATATCTGTGTGTGCAATACTGTAAGGGTCTGTTTCTAATCAAAGAGAATGGAATCCCCCTAAGGAAGTCCAGCACCTCTGGGGTCAGGCTGGAGCCGCTGGGCAGTGTGTGCTGGCTGTCTTGTAACAGCTGGATAAAAACTTAGGGTAAACACTATACCGTTTTATATTCTTAGTTACATAATATATTACAAAATATGATCATGAGTAATAAATAATGAAATCAAAACCTGTGTGACAGCTCTGAAAAGGGTGAAGGCTTGCTTGGTGTTCTGCAGTGCACAGCCATGATTCTCTTCCTCACCTTTCAACCCCACATTCCTTCTTGCAAGTCTCTCTGCTCCTTTCTGAAATCAGGTACTGCTTCACCCTGCCAGGACTCGGAGGAATCTGGGCCTTGTGCGTTTTGCAATCTCTGTAGACATTTTGGCAAGGAAGGGACAGGATAGACAATAAAATCTCAGCTGCCAAAAATGTATTTCTTTCTACTCCCCACCCACTCCCCCACCTCTGTGCTCCTCTACAGTCAAAGCTGCTTTGTGCCTCTGGGACCTTTGCTGGCACGTGCCAGGTTCGTGCATCCTCTGTGACCTGTGCTGCTCTCTGTGCAGTCTCCTCTGCCTGTGGGGAGCTGGGGGAGACCCCTTTGCCTGAGGCACAAGAGGGCTGAGACCTCATTTTTACTTTTGTGAAGCCCCCTTTGCATGTGAACAGAGCACAGCATGTGCTGCTGCACTTGGTGCCCCCTCACTGCACAGAGCTTGGCATCCAGCTGAGACAGCAAATGCTGCCAGAGCTCTCACCCTGCCCTCTGCCATGCCAAGCTGCCCATTTTCCCCTGGTCTGGTCCCTCTCAGTGCTGTGTGGTCCCAGCAGCTGGCTGGCTCCTGCTCTGCAGCATCCACGCTCTTGGAGCTTGGAGAACTCGCTTCCATTGCCAGGAACAGCTTGGACCACCGAGGTGGGAGCTGGTGGTAATTATATATCCAGGTCTGTGCAAGTGCTTTCCAGTCACTTGGTTAAAAACTCGTTTATCCACATGTATTTTGGGAGAATGCAAAGGCTGCAGTTGCTTTGTGTACATCTGGCCTCTCTTTTCCAAGGCTTTGAGTGTTGCTGCCTGAGAACCTTCAGCGGTGACAACTTCACTTTAAAAGCCTTCTCACCCACCATTGACTTCAAGAAGCTGGGTTAAGATTTATAGCTGTCTGAAACCTGCTGGAATTCAGGAGAGGGCAGCCTGGGTGCAGTGGGTATCTGGAATGGCTGTGTTTGCACAGGGAGCTCTGTAAATGTGAAGTGCTCAGTCTGTTATTGCACAGCCCATGACCATAGCTGGGGTGCTTGCAGGGAGGTGGGTCAGAGCTGGTCACGCACATGCTGGTGATAAATTTGGAAAGATAAATTAGTCTTTTCTTCTTTTGAAACAGCCAAGTTTGGAAAAATAACACCCTACTTGGCTAGCAAAGCACTGTCAATTTTATTATGCATTAGGGCTCACCTCCATGTAGCTCTGCAGTCGTATGGTTGAGTCTTTGCCAGGCCTTAAAATATGTTCTGTAAACTAAGATCTTGGTCAAGTTGGCTGTGTTCCCCATTTCCTCTGTATCTCTGGGTGTTGGGGGCTTTATTTAAATTCCCATTTGTTTCAAGGACTTGTAAGAATTGCTTTAAAAAAGGGAAAAGTTAAAGGTAATGTAAGTTTTCAGAGGAGTCTGTGCTCGCTCCATGAACAGCAATGCTTGTGAGCACTTGGCAGCCTGGGGACCAGTGCTTACCAAGAAGAGCTGTTGAAACAGACCCCTGGTGTGAGCATAAAGTCTGGCTGGCTCCCAGCTCCTGGGGAGCACAGTGGTCATATATCAGAGAGCTCTCGAAAGTTTTATAATGGATATTTCCTAATTCTCCCCCACCTCCAGGGAGAGGGGAATGTTCCCATATAGCCCTGTAACACAGTGTAGTCTGATCCTAGCCAAGGCTATGAAATAATAAATGTTCCTTGCCTGAGTTGGCTGTTCTGCTCCCAAAGGCAGCACATGTGAAGCCCAGGTTGAGGTTCAGCAGGAGCTGTTGGCTTCTTGCTCCTCCAGGGCTGTTCTCTCCTGTGAATTCTGTTCTCTCCTATGGATTCATCCATGGCCCAGCTTCATGTCAGCCGGTGAGGAGGATGGAGCCTGTGAATAAAATGTGACAGGACCCCACTCTGGTGTAGTTCAGCAGATCTCCATGGGGCCCCCATTGTACTCCCAGAGACCTCACCTGGGGCTGTGCTGGTGGCTTTGGCCATGGTGT